GTTTTGTTTTCTTTAATCATCCTTTGTGAGAGGGGCCTCTCTCTGGAGGAATGCAGCCCCCGACTGAGTTTAAAGCCCCGACACACAAAGACCTCCACTCCACCAGAGCCATGCTATACCCTATTTCAACAAGTTAACCCTTTAGAGCCCGATCCAGGAAAAATAGGAAGAATATTGGATTTTTTTAATATATATCTGAATGTGTACAACAGGGGTTTGAGCAAAGCTTTTACCACTGAATGATGCAGAAAGTCTCACATCCAAAAGAAACCGGATCAGATATGACACATTTGGCTTTATAGGGTTAAAACCCCAAACAGCTTTAAAAGCTCTAAAAAACAGTTGTAAAAGCCCCAAAAAACAGTTTTAAAAGCACAAAAACAGCTTTAAAGGCAAAAAAACAGCTTTAAAAGCCCCAAAAAACGCTTTAAAAGCACCAAAAAAACAGCTTTAAAGGCCAAAAAACAGCTTTAAAAAACACAAAAACAGCTTTAAAGGCCAAAAACAGCTTTAAAAGCCCCCAAAAAACGGCTTTATAGGCCAAAAACTGCTATAAAAACCACAAAACAGCTTTAAAGGCCAAAAATAGCTTCAGAAGCCCCCCAAAACAGCTTTAACCCTTCAAAGCCTGATCCTAGAAAAATAGGAAGAATATTGGATTTTTTTGGTCTGAAGTCTGAAGTTTGAGTCAGTTAACTCCTTTGCAATTAAGTTTTTTTTTAAATATATATCCCTATGAAAATCAGAGTGTATGTGCAATTTTTTACTCTAGTTATCCCTTGTATACAGGCACAACTGTAATTTTGAATGACATAAATAAGTATAAAACTTAAGATGAAAATCTAAGTGCAGTGACCTTTAACCTGCAACAGAAGCTAAAGAAATCCTCCAGAATTCCCCTCTATAAATTAACCTAAACTCATCCCCTTTTCCTTCAGAATTACTAATAAAAAGTGAAAGTATCATCATCATATCTCCATCGTTCAGCTGGTTAGTAAAGAGTAAAGAGCTTCAGTTTCATCACCGAGATCTTTAACCCTTTAAAGTCTGATCCAAGAAAAATAGGAAGAATATTGGATTTTTTTTTAGTCTGAAGTCTTTCTTTGGCCCCTCAACAACACATGAAGAAAAAAAAATGAAATTATTTTGATCAAATTAGTGTGCAATAAGTCCCCCAAAACAGCTTTAAAAGCCCCAAAAAACAGCTTTAAAAGCCCTAAAAAACTGTTTTAAAAGCAATAAAAACAGCTTTAAAAGCACAAAAACAGCTTTAAAAGCCCCAAAAAACAGCTTTAACCCTTTAAAGCCTGATCCAAGAAAAATAGAAAGAATATTGGATTTTTTTAGTCTGAAGTCTTTCTTTGGCCCCTCAACAACATATGAAGAAAAAAAACAGAAATTATTTTGATCAAATTAGCGTGCAATAAGTCAAAAATGTATTTTGGTGTAGTCTTCTACTGGCTGTCATTTTTTTTTCACACTTTTCCTGCTGACACAGTCCCAAATGTACACAATCAAATTATTAAAAACTTGGTTTTGCATAATATGTCCCTTTAGGGTAAAATACTGAAGCAGGTTTGAGGATAAAGTATAAAATATAAAGTTCAGAGTCGACCCATAAAGAAAACTCAGCATAAAAACAGATAAATACAGATAAAATCAGATAAATACAGATAAAA